AAGTATTCAAATAAAAATGTGAAAATCGAATTTGATAGACAAACTGGAATATTGTTGACAAAATAGAGTAAAAAGTCGATATCTCATACTTGTGAGCTTTGTTTATTTGGAAAGTTTTCTTTTTGTGAGGCAAGACTAACTTTTATTAAGTTAGAAACATCATTTGGTTGTCAAATAGCAATATACAAATTCTAGAAGTATCGCGTTACTTTTCTGTGAAATCAAGCGGAAGTTTTTATGTATAATATTTAATGAAAATAAATTCTCAACTATTGATAGAATTTATTCATTCAAGACTGATGTGTCTATAAATAGAGCTGTTCATTTAATGAAAACTCTCTTTTTCCTGGAGATGACATTCAATTAATTATATTTGGTTGATTGTATCGATCGGTTAGTCTCCGATTCGGATCCACCTCCGTTTCGGTCCCATTTGATGATCTCTTATTTAGGTCCCTTCTCAATTTGGTCCGCTTCAATTGATTCTCATTTCGGTCCGTTTCCAGTCCGGTTATAATTCATTAAATTAAAGCGAGATGAGAAGAGAAGCTTTTACTTATCTTCATGATTAGTCATTTTAAGAATTCATTCTCGAATGTTCATTGGTTGAGCAGTACCCATATAATAATCGGGTTTAAACAAAATGACATGTCAGCGATCATTGTTAAGATATACAAATTGAGTGCGAAAAGCGCGCGACAAGTATCATGCAATTCACGACTACACATAATAATGCACTTGTACTTAGTTACTAAGGTTTACAATTGACAATTCAACGCGGCAAAGCCGTAAAAACAAACAATTTAGGTTTTTTATTTTATATATATATATACAATGTGCCTATGCGTTATAAGTACAGATAGCCTTTGTGTTATTCTCGTTTATATTAAATATAATTATGAATCTTTGTTATTGATAATATTAGGACTGAATTGACATATCATCGAACGGGATTAATTCGGGGTTAAACGTATTGATTAAAATAGACGAAAGACAATTAAATAGCTCGTAGGTTTGAATCATAAATAGTAAAGTCACATTGAACTTTGTCAAATGATAGTTGTTTTCTTCTGACAAGCTGAAAATGCAGAGCAATTCTTTTGATAAGGGTTTATATGGAACTGTCACTTTTCTATGAATGGATTGTATTATTGATTAATATCAGTAACCAAATACTTATATATTTTTTCTTTTAGAAAAATTCTTATAAAAAAATTCTATCTGAATTATCTGATGTTCTTGATAAACATACAATTTATGTAAATAAAACGCAATTTAATTCTTGGCAAACATATTTAAAAGTCTTTTTATCTGAAGGTGGTATTATCGAAGCATATCCACCATCAAATTCTATAACATCAATAACACTATGTCTTTCTATTGAACCTAATGGTCATTATTCATTAATTTGTTCCGGTGATCAACTTCATGCTGAATCTCAATTTTCTTGTTGGGGTTTATCATTTCCACAATCAAGTGTTGATGCAAATGAATTGAATAATTACTGTTCCTTAATTGTTCAACAATGTAAACAAAGAAATATATATGGTTATGTTGATATTGATTTCGTAGCATTTATTGATAAGAAAACTAATCAACAAAAAGTATGGGTCATTGATTTATGTATTGGATATTCTGAACATATATCACTTTATCGTGTTATGCAATATACTACAACTGGACAATTTAATCCACTAACACATTCATTTATGATAAAAATAAAAGAAATAAAACAACGATTAAGAAATTGGCAAAATGGTGCACCAGAATATACCGTAAAAAAAGCTTTCTTTTTTTTTGTACATTAAAAAATTGTAACATAATGTAATTTTTTTTACAGATCATTCAAAAAAATCGTTATGCTATTTGGAGTTCAAAATTATATCATAAAAATTTATCTAATATTCATTATAGTATCTTTTTTCAAATGTGTCGTTCACATGGTGTTGGTTTTGATATTCGAGAAAAGCAAGGAAGTATATTTACTTTATTTGAATGTGATCATCATGATCATATTGGTATGATTACAATTAGTGATACATTACAAAATACATTATCAAATTTTGCTTGTTATTTAAATACGATTTATCAAGAAATTACACCAGCCGATATGCAAGAACAAAGTAATTTTATGGTAAATGAAATTTTTTCTAGAAATAATATATGAAAAGTAATTTTTATTTTTGTTTATAGTTGGCTGTGAATGATATTGAAAATATACTTGGTGTAACACAAGAAAATGCTTCAAATATTTCATCGAATGATACTACATCTTGATTAAAAAAATGTGTTTCTTTTTTGAATTTTTGACGGCTGATCCTGGTTTACATTGCTAACAACAAATAAATTTAATTTTTGTGAAAAATATAAAAATGTTCAAGAAAAGCTCTGCTCTGAGATGCCATAGCCTGAAGAGTTCTCTACAAAACACACTATTTAACTTTCAAAANTTTTTATTGACATTTTTAATTATTGATATAAAAATTCAATTAAGATACTTTATATGAGCAATTTCCTTTTCTTAGCGACGTGATTTTACAAAATGAAAAAAAGTGTATGCTTGGACTGGAGATTTTTTTTTTAATTAATGTTTTTGTCGAGTTATTATTGAAAAACTGGCGTTAGCGATGTGACATAATAAAGATTGACAAAGGTTTTCACTTCATACGTTTTCATTTCCTATTGGTAAATTTAAATAGTATTTTTGAAAGTTAAATAGTGTGTTTTGTAGAGAACTCTTCAGGCTATGGCATCTCAGAGCAGAGCTTTTCTTGAACATTTTTATATTTTTCACAAAAATTAAATTTATTTGTTGTTAGCAATGTAAACCAGGATCAGCCGTCAAAAATTCAAAAAAGAAAATCTTGAAATTAGGAAAAGTATTGAAAAAAGTGACGCCTCCAGGATGGGTCTATGTGCGAGTCTAGATGAAGAAAACACTAGAACAGAGACCCACACTCATACTCCTTATGCCAAAAATAATGTACTGGTAGTTGAAATTTTCGATAGTTTATCTTTCGACTTTTCTACAGCACACCTGAATGAGGACTATGGTGGAAATGAAAAATATTCTTGTAATTGAATGTGAAATTCAAAAGTCAATTCTAAATAATACAAATTCTTATTCAAGATCTTGAAAAGATATTAAAAAATAAAATTATCGTTTTGGAACTTGAGAAAGTCTCTGGAAAACCGGACTTTTTGAAACAACTATTTTTTGTGTTCGATCTTGTTGCAAATCTTCACCATAGATATTGTTCACGATATTGTAGTATATTCTATAATTCTTGAATTTACTCGTGATATAAGATTAGAGAGCCACTTGCTAATTACATTTTAATTAGGTAACTTGACAAGCCGCTGCTGGTGTGTGGATGTCGGTGCGACTGAGACTCTTTTGTGTATTCTGATCAACACCTTCGCCATACCCACAATCACACATAGAACTGAAAGAGCCAATATTTTTACATAAGTATTCATTTGAAAAGAGTCTCTTCAAAAAAGTAACTCTTATGCAGAATCCAAGGCAAATCGAAGATGTTCATGTCTTATTATCGCTGATTTTGCTCATATAATGAAATTGAAAAAGATGCTTGATGAAGAAAATATTTCAACAATGAAATATTTTAATGAAACAAATTTCAGATTACTTCTAACTTGAGGAAGATCTTTTAAGAGCCGTATTAACTATTAGAGGTTGACGAACATGCAATTGAATACAATGTATAATAATTGGAGACTTTTACTTGAGAACGAAAGAAGGATAACTTATAGGCATATATTGTACGCAAACTTAATAAAAAAAAGACTTAATCTATCATTGTTATCGATATGCACGACCAATTGTTTTTTAGTCTCGGTCGCAACACCTCTTGACTTCGTTGTTGTGAACATCACTTATCACTATTCTAACATACTATGATATCATATCATTAAGAAAAATTACCTGAAAAATAATGATAATGTTTTCTTTTCGTTAACACATCAGTTGTGTCTACGAAGAAATATCAGGTCTTTCATGATCCAACACACTAAGTTTTACAAATAATTTATAATGTACTCGTACTGTTGAAAATTTTTATACGTTTTAGTAAAAAGGTTATCTTGTTCTGAATTATCACATCGATAGAATATATAAAAATTGTAAAGTATTCTCGTCATGATGATTAAGAAATGTACGCAAGAAAAAATGACATTATGTATATGTATATCTAAAATCAATATGATCAAGTTTCATTATTAAGAAGAAACTGTTTCAAGTATTCTTTTCTTCGATTCATGTTATAATCTTTAAAAATTGTTTTATTAAGGATTAAGCTATGTTCTTATTCGATATTGTCCTTCTATCGCATATTATACATTGACAAATTCGTTTTGGATATTGACTATTGTCGAATATTTAATCGATAAAAATGAATGAAGAAATTTCAACAAATTTGAATTTTGAAGTTACAATTTATATATTTTTTTTTTAATGTATACATAAAAACAAAGCCTAGTTTCTAATGTTCTTACCATATGTAAATTTATTAAAATCAAGAGCAAACATATAATGACATCATTATATTGCATAATAAAACCAGTTTTACTTGAAATATTGATCATATACTAAAGTTTTACGATTTCAATGCCATTTTATCATGCATGAATCATTATGTTGTAATTCCGTTTAACGAGTAATAAAATCTACTACCGACATAAAATTCAATACTCTTCCCTTGATTAGACTGATAAAAAAAAAGACTAAATAAATATATGTACAAGTCTTTGTCATAGGTCAACAATAAATGATTATGAAATTTTACTCCTACACATACACATATATACAATAACCGGCATACATTTATATAATATAGGGTTTTCAAGATTCTATTCGTAGATAAAAATAGAAAGCCGAACTTATCAAAATGAATTTTCTTCACTGCATATTCATTTTACTATTTCCAATTATTTTCTCGTATTCACATGGGAATTCAGGTAGTCTTAATCATTTTTTAAATATGAATATGAAACAAGCAGAAAGAAATCTTGATGAAACGAATAAAAAATTTGGTTCTTCTCGACAATATATGTTTCGTCCTTTGCCTGTACATTATGAACAAAAACTATTACCAAATCCATTATGTCTTCCACAAGTGTGGACTTGTGGTCCAAATTTTCCTCCATGTTGTCCTGGTCTTATGTGTTATGATGGTAATGCAAAACGTGGTCGATATTGTGTTGCTAAAGGATAATTATAATAACAAATGTTCTGTAAAAATAATGTAAAGTTTATTTTATTTTTAATAAAATTTAAATAATATATTGAAGTTTGATTTGATAAAAATCTGTATGATTAAACTTAAATTATGATCTATGTACTTCTATTTAGAATAAAGGTATTATTCTATGTAATTCAATAATTTTATATTTCATTGTTTAGTTCAAATAATTTTATAAAACACGAAATTACTATTTTCTTCGTGTGACAGAATTAATATAAAGAGACAACAAAGAATCGGCACTCATAAATGTACAATAAGATTACAATAATTATTTTTTGATTTTTCATTTAAATTAACAACACATTGCTTGTATTAGAAAATGTAGAATTACTCAGTTTATTCTTAATTCTGTTGCATATGGGGTGTGACTACACGACTTTTCTTTACTCACACACCCTCACTCATGCACATATGCACACAACCACACCTACCTTCAACATTTAAACTCTCATCTACTTTTTCTTATTCAGTGTTTTTCAATTTCTGCCTTTTCGGCCAATCTGATATTTATATCACCCAGTCTCGGACAATCTGGCATAGCTTTGATTCTAGCAACTTCTTTTCTAATAGTTCCAGTCCCGATTCCGACTGAGAGAAGATTATTGCAGAATTTATCCATATCACATCAAATATAATTCCTTAATATTCGTTTTTTATTTATTTATTTGGTTGACGACTAACATTTTTTTGGGGTTATATCTCTTGAATTATCTTCTGATTCATGTGCTTTTCAAAGATAATTTGGGTAAAACCGTAGAATATTTTACTATATACTTGAGATTCGGCCACGGCGAAAGGTCTCTATGGCTGTTCATGGATCGAGTCTTCAATAAAATATTAAGTTTTCGAAAGAAGTTGCGTATTTCGACTAATTTTTTTTTCAAAATCCCATTTACTTCTTGGATTGATTAAAAAATTTCTTCAATGAGCAACAGATATTTAAAGCAAAAGATGATATTATCGTTATCTTAAAAAACTCTCTATATATTCAACAGAATATCAGTGCCTAACTCACATCGTTGATCAACAATTAAAGCATCATTATTAACTGATTTTTCTAATTTTAATTCTATACCTATCGAACCTTCTCAATCATCAATTTTTGTTAAAAACTTTTTCTTCAACTACCAGTGCTGATTCATCATTACATGCAAAACAGTATATATTTAAACGAATCGAATTTCTTGTGAAACAACAACTGCCGAAATATGCTGTTATTAAAAATGAAACAGAAATTATATCTTTCTATTAATTTTTTGAAGAAAAAAAACATGGATCAAAGTGCGATAACCCATGGATCGGCTTTCTTCGGCTCGATTCAGCCCATTAAGACCTCGGATCTCGGCAAAGTTTTGTTTTTAGGTCTCGCACATTTCTAGTACTGCTGTATCTCGACAGTAGGCCTGTTCCATGGGATTTCTCCCAAAAAAAAACACAACTATGTTCAAATCGATCGATTATGCCTCTATCTTGTAGAACATAATGACTTGTTGTTATGGTAAAAAAAAATTAGCTTAAACAGACGTTCCTTCAGAAAGATATAGAAGTCACAAGTAGAGCAGAAAAATGAAAAAAACTCGAAAACAGCGTAAAACTCGGAAAAATTACCAAATATTGTGGTCTTAACTTTTTTATCATTATTTGGACGAAAATTAATTATGACTGTATATTCTTGTTCCCCAAGATCTCGCGCATTTTCCCATATATTATTTGTTCGTTTTTCTTCTTCTAATAAATTTTTTTCACTAGTGATAATACTCAGATCCGCGCCACAAATGATAGTGCTCATACT